GTGTAGTTTTCTCTTCGAGCATGCAAGTCAACACTCCCCAAACAGCCACTCAAAAAGGGGATGTGACTTTATTTGCTGTTGAGGAAAAATTTGCTGTGGCAAATTAGCTTGCTTGATTTACTTTTATCAATCCACTCAAATTTTGACTTTTGGGTAGGTCATGAATCTCATGTTGCAGCTTTGGCTTGCGACAGCTGAAGTTTTCTTTTTCAAAGGCCTCCGCTAGTCTCCTTAGTGACTTGCTAGCAGGTCCCAGGGTGCTATTCGCGAGGTTTTAGCATCTTTGCACGCCACTCCCCCGAGTGGGGTGGCAGATGGACCAGAGGCCTTTGGTGCCTCGGGGTGCAGCTCCGACCCGCTTTCGGCGCTTGCTCCTCCTTTGGTTGTATCAGCAGAGTTTCTTGCGTGGCTGGCAGTCCGATCTAGTGCTTCAGCCTGACGAGGAGCGGCCGTCCTTTCAGGCCGTGCTGGGAGCTGCTCAGGCCTCCAGCTTGCTGCTGCTCTGCTTGCCTCCCGAGGATTATCAGCTGCTCCGTTGTTGCAATCGCGAGCTTCGCGGTGTTTTTGAAACCATTGCAGCCCTTGTTCGCCGGGCAGCGCCGCGCTTGCAACGTGCATATTTGGCATGAGCTTCCCTCCTTTAGAGCCGATTCAGGAGTTTTTGGCTGCGGGCCCGGGTTTTGCCAGTGGGGGTGTTGATCCGCCGGGCCCTTTTGAGCAAGTGCAGAGTCGCCTGGCCGAGCAGGATTCAGATGCCCTGCCTGTGTCCGCTGCAGAAGGCCCTACAGAGCTCGAGCCAGAAGGCCATTCTGAACCCGAGCTAGATGTGCCGAGGAGTCCTCCTAGGGGTTTCTTTGGTTCCTTCCCGGCCTGTGCCCTCTCGCCTAGGGGTTTAGGTCCCGGTTCTTCTGCTGGCTCCCCTGACTTCTCAAGAGGTGTCCCGTCCTCAGAGCTTGGTGATGCCGTTTCAGAGAGCCGTTGGTGGGATCAGGTCAGGGACAGCGAATGTGAGGTAGAACCCGTGGTCGACCCCCTTGAATCAACAAGCATTGACTTTGCTTCGACTTTCCGCTCGGCAGTGCAATCTCAATTCAGCTTGCAGGATCGGAACCCTTTGAAGTTGCCCTGGGAGATGGGTGTCTTTGGGGAAATCTTTGGCTCTTCAGAACCTGAGCTTTTCCCTTCACTGAAGCGAACCGTCCCCACGTTCTTGGAAGCCGATGAAGGTTCTCATAGCGAGGCTGCTCCTGCAGCAGTTAAGCGAGTGAGGGTCTTGGACAAAGGTGTCTCGTTTGCCTCAGCTGTCAAGATGAGGGTGCCAGTGTCTTGGAAAGATCAAAGAGCCGCCCAGTTTGACATTGGGGTTGATTTGTGGCTTACTTTAATCAAAAGTTGGGGCCCATGCAATGACATGCTGGAGGCTGAAGTCCAAGGCGACTCCCAGAGGGAAGTCGTGTCCGATGTTTTGAGGGGAAAGGCGCCTTCAACTTTGCTCAAGAGGGCCAGGGCCATTTCAGGTCTGCAAGCTTTTCTTGCAGAAAGGATGATCACTTTCCCCTGTGGCGAGAAGGACCTGTATGCCTTCTTGAAGCATATGGAAGCTGCGGGCATAGCAAAGAGCAGGTGCACAGGGCTGCTCGAGGCCCTTGCTTTTGTGCGACACGTCATTGGTGTGGATGAGGTTGAGGATCTGCTTAAAAGTAGAAGGTGCCGTGGTGTGGGGGTAGTGGAAGTCACGGTGGATCAGCTTCTGTATTTGCACGACGTGTTAGAGACTCATCGTGATCCATGGACCCGGCATTTTGCTGGGTGTGCACTCGTGACCACCTACAGCAGGTGTAGGTGGTCAGACATTCAGCACTCCGACGAGCTCATTTTGGACAGAGGCCTGGATGGGCAGCTGACCTACTTGGAACTGCGGATAGGGGTTCACAAGACTTGCAGACTTCAGAGCAAGCGACACAGATTTCTGCGCGTTGTATCTCCAAGTTTGGGAGTTAAAGAGTTCGGAGAGCAGTGGTTGGCCAGCAGAAGGGATATTGGTCTGGATGATGTCGGACGCATGCCTTTCTGCCCTGCGCCTGACTCGAGTGCTAGCCCCACGGTCCGTGGCATCGACTCAGAAGAAGCTACAACTTGGCTGCGTTTGCTCCTCAGGGACAAGCCGTCTGCGGGCCAGGAGCCATCCTCAAAGTCCTTCAAGGCGACGGTCTTGTCCTGGGCAGCTAAACGAGGCGTTGATGGACTTTCCATCCAGCGTCTGGGATATCACGCTGCAGGCGGGCTCGACATAGTCTACAGCAGGGATGCCCAGGCACCCTACATCCTCATCGTGGAAAAGCTTCTGGCTGAGGTTCGTGAAGGGAAGTTCAGGCCGGATGATACGAGGGGATTGACTGGATCACCCAAGCCGCTTGTTGAGCCTCTGATTCGGGCCCCGGTTTCGAGGGGCGTCCCAGACCTTGGCGAGGATGTGCCAGTGGCAGAGCTGGCCAGCGAAGCTGGGGTCAAGCTTGAGGGCCACGGTTCAGATGGCCTCGCGCCCGAAGTCGTGGACCTGGAGGAAGGTGGCGGTGAGGATGAAAGGTCTCTTGGAAGCTCGACCTCGTCGGCTGATGAGGACGACCACCAGCCGGTTGCAGCGGTGGCGGGAGGATAGCTCGTCCCGGAAGGCTTTGACCTGTGGCTGCATGCTTCTTCAAAGGTCGCACATCTGGCATCGGCTAGGAACTTCCGAAATCTTTTGGCGTGCGGGAGGGCTGTAGGCCCGAAGCATGCAAAGCTCAAAGCGACGGTTTTGGATGCTGGCATGAAACCGTGCCAGTTTTGTTTCAGACGTTGATCTCTGTAGATCGAACGGTGAAAACGCGAGGGTCTGTGCGCACTGGTGAGCTTTCCCAGTTCATGTCGAGCATTCCCTGTGTGGTGTGCGCGGTGGGTGAATTTTCCCCAGCCGGGCTTCCAAGAGGTGAGCTTGATTTCTTGCGCCAGATTTAGGCTCGGTCGGCGTAGGGGCTTGCATGCATGTTCATGTGAGGTACCAGCGTCTGTTATGTTTTCACTTTGTTTCCCGTGTCATAGCGAAGCTTCACATCTAGGCGAATCTAGGCGTGCGATGGCTCTCGTGACTTCAGAGGCTGCACTCAAGCAGAGGTGTCTGGAAGTCAGCCCTGATGGGAGTCTTTACACTTCCTTGGCGGCTCAGAGCATTCGCAGCTTCAGGCAACTTGCATTTGCCATAGGCACACCGCGATCAGAGCCGACGCCCGAACAGTATCAGGAGCTGGCAGCTCAGGTGTTCGGAGCTGCTGCTCCGATTGGGAAAGTGGCACAGCTTAGAGATTTGCATTTTGAAGCGACGACGTATGTCATCCAAGCCCTTAAGGATCAGGTGAGCTCGGATGCTGCTGAACATCAGGTGCGCAAGCTGCCAATGGCAGAGCGTGCGGCCAGGTTGTCTGATCAGCAGCGTAGGCTTTCAGGCGTCTCCATCACTGGGGAGTTGCAGCCTTCCTACGGTTTGGTTGATAAGGTCAATCATATCCTGGAATCAGGGCAGCTTGTTTGGATCTCCCCTTCCATGTGTGGGAAACGGGATTTGGAAGTCGCCCAAGGAATTGATCACAAGGCCCAGGTTGTGCAGGTTGAGAAAGAGGCCTTGAAGGTTTCTGCATCTCAGGTTGAGACCAAGGCGGATGTGACCACGCCTCTGATGCTTCACTTTGCTTTTCAGCGGAGGGGAATTGCCTTTGATCACTGTGGCCTGATTGAGTGGAGCACGCATCAGGATTATCTTCACAGGCTCCTTTTCGCCCTGAGCGCGCCTGTGCCCCCTGGTTTCAGTCAGGTCACCATACAGCAGATCGTACGTGCTGACAAGGAATTGTGGACCATCATGGCCCGTGAGTGCGTGCCCCCATTCAAGGCGAAACCTGACGGGACTAAGCCGCTTGATGTCTCCATGAGCAAGCTGATGCTGGACTCCAGGGTTCAGATGTGGCTGTTGCCTGTCATGGTGTCGCAAGCTAGCAAAATCCAAGCCCCACCGAGTGTTGAGCCATCTGACGCTTTCCCGTCCGATGTGCCAACACCGCCGAAGAAGATTCGCCTCCGGAAGAAGGCGAAGAAGGTCATGCCGGATGCCCTCAAGGGGTGCAAGAAGTTCAGCAAAGGGCCGTGCTGTTGGGGTTTTAACTTGGAGGGTTGCTCGTTGGAAACCAAGGTTGCAGAAGGCCTGCCGCGATGCCAGAAGGGTTTCCATGTGTGCATGTTCTGTCACAAGCCAGGCCACTCCTTCAGCAACTGTAGAGCCCGGGGTGGACAGCAGAAATCGTGACTGCAGGAGCCCCAAGCCGAGGCTGTGCAAAGTGCTTCAGGTGCCTCCCAGTGTGCTGATGCAAGCATGGCCTCTGCAGCTGACATTTTAGAGCCTGCCCAGTCCGTCAAACGGCAAAAAGTAGACATGCCTGAGCGAGCTGAGGAGCTTGCTGAGGACTTGCGCGGCAAACATGTAAGTGCCGGCGATGTATTGAAAATTTTCGATTTTCTGCATAAGAGTGATGCGCCGCGAGGCTCAGCCGTCAGGGGCAAATCCTTTTCAGCTGGAAGCTTTGTGCATGGAGGCGTCGTAGGCCTCCATCTTAATACTTCGAAATTTCCATCTTCAGTGCAAGTCGTGTGCAGTTTTATCGGGCAGTTTTCAGGTGGCTACCCGTTTGCCGCATTCACAATTCTTGATCAAACTCAATCCGATCTGCATCAGGATGCCAATAACGAGCCGTCTACTTGGAATTTGATAATTCCCATATCATTCTTTGAGGGAGGGGGAATTTGGTATCAGGCCAGTTCCGGTACAGCACCCTGCCCTTTGGATCATTCGAGGTTTGGTCACATCCTCGATGTTGCATCGGGGCCTCAGTGGCTTCCCGCTGCGGATGCAAAGCACTGTACACTCCCATGGACTGGGAGGAGATGCGTTGTTGTGGCATTTACGCCCAGGTTTCTTGAGAAACTTGACCCTCGAGATGTTTGTCGTCTGCACGATTCAGGTTTCGTTCTTCGAAAGCCCATGCTCACTGCTGAGCTTTCCGAGGATGAGGTGCCAGGCAAATGCTTGACTGACATGCTTGTCATCGAGGTGTGTTGTGGCTCTGCTGCTCTTAGCTGGGCCTGCCATAAACAAGGGTTTCAAGTCATGCCAATTGCAAGTAGAAGCAACTTTGACAAGAAGCCTAAACTCCGTGTGCATCACTTGGACTTGACTGACCCCGAGGCCTTGCGAAGCCTCGAGGAGTTGATTTGCACCGAGTCCGCCAGGATCGCGCTAATTTGGGCTGCAGTGCCTCATGGGGCGGCCAGTGTGGCGAGGTCCAAGCCGTTGCCGAGGTTCGAGCGCCTGAACTTGCCAACCCCTAAGCCCCTCCGTAGCCTTAGTAAACCGGAAGGTTTGGATGGTCTTATGGGGCGGGACAAAGCAAAGTGCGAGGTGGCAAACCAAGTGTATCATGGGGTTACTGTCCTGCTCCAAGCAGCTCTAAAGCGAGGTGTGCGATGTGTCATCGAAAATCCGGTGTCGTCACTGTACTGGCAGACGGAATTCTTTCGATCTTTGCAGGCGTTGCATTTAGGGTCGGTGGTGCATTTCCACCTGTGTCAGCATGGAGGTCCTCGCCCAAAGCATGTGCAGTTGTGGACTTCCGACCAAACCTTTGTAAGCTTAGCAGCAGTCTGCCCGGGGAACAAATTGTGTTCTCATGAGGCTTGGCGGCCCGTGGCACCGGATTTGGACCTGCCTTTTGACACCTCAAGCCGTGCAGAGTGCCCTGACCTTCTGTGTGATCGTGTTGCGGGGATCCTTAAGCATGCCTGCTTGGCACAAGGGATAGCGGATCGGCTTTCTTTGCAAGGTGCAGTGGAGCACTCTGCCCAAGGTACCCAGAGACTTGTGCTGAGCTTGCAGCCTGCAGGTGCTAAAGCCCCTCAACTGTTGCCAGAGTTTGGTCACCATCTGCAAGTTGTTGTCACACCATCTTCAAAGCTGCCGCAGGCCCCTCAGCATGCTGTGTTTCTCTCTCGGCGTTTGCTTCAGTGGGGGCAATTCCAGGCCGAGACCAGGAGTCCGACTGTTGGCGTCAGGTGTGACTTGGACACTTCTGAGCTTGTGCCATCCAGCTTGGTCGAGATTGTCCTTTTCGGCATCCCAGCATCGCCTGATGCGTTTGTCAGGAAGGCCGTGGAAACGGGACATCCTGCAGACTTCAAGTCGTCTCTTGAGCCGCTACTCAAGAAAGTGGTTGAAGAAAACATTGTGGGTGACGAGCTCAGGCTTGCAAAGGCTAGGCTCGCTTTCGTGGCAAAGTGGTCTTCGAGGGCCAAGGCCCTGGAGCAACGCGAGACTGAACTGCATGCGAGTCTGCCGAAGCACATCAAGCATATCTTGAAAGGGAAACGGCTTCTCCTTTTACAAGAAATGATTGATTTTTATGGGCTGCCTGACACTGAGCTGGTCAGGCACATGAAGGAGGGCTTCAGTCTTAGTGGTTGGATGCCCAGCAGTGGGTCCTTTCCTGCTTCAACGAAGAGGCCCGAATTCTCGGTCGATGCATTAAAGCTTTTGTCTGCAGGTTTCAACGCAGCGACCTTGTCAAAGGCTAAAGTGCGACAGGAGCGTCCTCTGGAGGAGGCCACTTGGCAGGAAACTCTAGCTGAGGAGGAACAGGGCTGGGTTTGGCGTTGCGAGGACCAAGTGATGGACGGAAAAGTCGTGGCGAGGAGATTTGGGATCTTCCAGAATGGGAAGATTCGTGTGATCGATGACCTGTCTTGCTGTGGGCTGAATGCCACGGTGGGGCTTAGAGAAAAGTTCGTTCTCCACTCCATCGACAAGATGGCGGCGATGCTAGCTTATGCTACTTCGTTAGTCAAGGATCCGGACTTCTCTCTATGTGGCAGGACATACGACCTGAAAAGTGCTTATAAGCAATTTCCCATCTGCCAGAGGGACTATGATCTCTTGCGCTTCATGGTGGCCGAGCCGGGCAAACCCGAACCCACCCTCTTCGGGTTTAGTTCCCTTCCGTTTGGAGGTATAGGATCCGTTTCGGCCTTCCTTAGAATAAGTTTGTGCCTGTGGCAACTAGGCATAGTAGGCCTCCGGGTGATGTGGAGCGCCTTCTTTGACGACTATTCTGTTGTGAGCAAGGAATCGTTAAAGAAAAACGCTGCTTTCGGAATAGAGTCTTTGTTTCAGTTGCTGGGCCTTACCTTTGCGAAGGAAGGGAAGAAGGCTCCTCCCTTCAGTACCGTCTTCAACATGCTTGGGCTTTCTGTCAACCTTGCCCCCTTCAAGGAAGGAAGTATAGAGGTTGGGCATACTGAAAAACGTGTGTCTGAACTAGATACCTCCTTGGAGGCGGTTGTCGAGCAAGGCTCTTTAAGCATGAAGGAGGCTGAAAGATTGAGGGGAAGGATGAACTTCTTCGAAGGCCACGCCTTCGGTCGTGGTCCTGCTCAGGCCCTGAGGACCGTCGACCATCATGCCAGGACGGGGGCCACTAGCAAGAAGCTTCCACCTGCCGTCGTGTCCGCCTTGACTGTGCTGAGAGAGCGTTTGAAATCTGCCATTCCGCTGCAAATTTCATCTGTAGCTCTCTCCACTTGGTACCTGTTCACAGATGGTTCATGCGAGGCTGCTGCAAGTTCTGGCGCGGTTGGAGCAGTCCTCTATGACAAGTATGGCAGAGTTGTGTCTGCCTTCAGTGAGAGCGTGCCCACTCGAGTTATGCATGACCTCTTGCAAGACTCTGCCAATCCTATCTACGAGCTTGAGCTTTTTCCGGTGCTCATCTCCTTTAGGAAGTGGGCGTCTATGCTTGCTGGCTCGCAGGTGGTGAGTTTTGTGGACAACGATGCTGCCAAATATGCACTTGTCAGATCGTGTTCGGCGACTAAGACAGGTGCTGCAATAATCGATGCCATCCGCCTCATTGAGCAAAGATTTCAGTTACGTGTGTGGTATGCTCGCGTGCCCACACACAGTAACCCAGCAGATGCACCCAGCAGATTGGATGTGACCGGTCTTGAGAATTTCCTTGTCGGCGACATCTCCTGGGAGGTGTCATCCACTGCTCTTTGAGTGGGGTTTGCCCTCAGGCAGTGTGGACCAGCCCCAGTGAGATTAAAAAAGTCTGGCGAGTGACTCTCTCTGCTTGTGCATATTTTCATATATTATATTTGAGTTGGATATATTCGAGGTTGATTGGCAAGCGATTTACGATACAGTGAATAAAAATGCATGAGCGCATGACGCAACGTTCAGGCTCAGAAGACTTGCAAAAGATCGGATTTTGTTCAGAAGTTGAAGTGAGAGTGTTGTGCTATGTGCTGGTATGCTGTCGCCGGCGCACATCAGTGTGTGTGCACAACCAACAACTTTGCTCGAGCGGTTCCGTTGGCAGAATCGGTGACTCGCCAGCGCATACACACATATGCACGTGTTGCAAAGACCGGGAAATTTTTCGTTTGCAGAAACTTGGAGATCGCTTCCCAGAGGCTGCCCGCGCAAGTATGTGTGTGGTAGGCCTGGTAGGCAGCAGATGTGGGATTAGTGGACATCAGTTTCTGTAATGAGCATGTACTTCTGTGAGCAGGCTGAAGAATCTTGGCTTATATATAGTCCGTTTGCCCGAAACTGTGAGATAAGATCCCAGAAATCGTGAGCTTGGCTTGCCAGTGCATGTACAAAGCAAAATGATGTGTGTTGTAGAATCGTAGAAGGTCAGGACGATTTGGTCGAGCGCCCAGGACCAGTGAGATGAGCTCGCTGAACTGAGTGGGATAAACTTTGGCTAAGCATTTCTTGTGGCGCAAACTTGGTGACAGTATTGCCTCCGACGGAAGCGTGATGTGATACGGCCGGCATTTACAAACATTTGCGTGTGTTGCAAAGGCCAAGAGATCTTGTTTCCGTTTCCAGAAACTGATTGCTTCCTGCGGGCTGCCCCCACACACATGTGTGTGCTGGAGGTCGGAGGACCTTGGTTCCAATAACGCGGCAACCGTGGCATCAGTGAACATCGGTTTAGTTGAATGATCATGTATTCCTTTGTGCAAGCAGGATAAGGTTTATGATTTTTCGGACAGAAACTGTGAGAGCAGCTTGGCCCGTCCGTGCACACACACATGTGTGTTGTAGAAGGTCAGGACGCCTTGGCCGAGCGCCCAGCACCAGTGAGAGAAGTTGAAGTGAGATGATTGTGTTTTGTGCTGATATGCTGTTGCCATGTGCAAGTCAGAAAATTTTGCTTGAGCGGTTCCGTTGGCATCGGTGACTTGCCAGCGCATGCACACACACATGCAGGTGTTGCACAGATCAGGACATGTTGTCTTCGTTCCCAGAAACTGTGAGACGGCTTCCTGTGGGCTGCCCGCACTCACACATGTGTGTGCTGGAGGTCGGAGGACCTTGGTTTCAATAACGCGGCAACCGTGACATGAGTGAGCATCAGTTAGTTGAATGATCATGTGCTCCTGTGAGCCAGCAGGGAAAGCTTTGAGTTTACTAGTTTGCCAGGAACTGTGAGACCAGTTCCCAGAACTTGTGAGCTTTGCCAAAGCTTTGCGCATATGTGTGTCGTAGAAGGTCAGGACACCTTGGCCGAGTGCCCAGAAACAGTGAGAGAAGTTGAGGTGAGATTTTTGTGCTTTAGCGGACAGCGGCTGTGATATCAGTGGACATCAGCTTGGCTTAATGACCATGTACTATACTGTGAGCAGCAGGACAAGCTTGGCTTAGCCTGCTTGTCTCTTGGCCAGAAACTGTGAGATCAGTTGCCAGAACTCGTGAGCTTGTCAGTGCACATACACATATGTGTGTTGTAGAATCTTACAAGGTCAGGACGCCTTGGCCGAGCGCCCAGAACCAGTGAGATAAGTTGAAGTGGGATTATTGTGTTTTGTGCTGACATGCTGTTGCCAGCGCGCATGAGTGTGTTCTGCAAGTCAGAGAACTTGGGTTGACTCGCATGTTTTACCTGTCCTCTGCAGTCATTTTCAGTAGTGGATGAGACCACTGCCGATTGTAGCTGGCGGGGCCTCTGGGGGGTTCGTTGGGCTTTGTGTTCAGGTTGCCAGGGAGGTTTTCTTTTCCGATTCGGTCATTAGAGTTCCTCCTGAGCCTGAGCTCTTCCCTGTCCTTCCGGGAGACACTCCGTCAAGCTCCAACTTCACTCTGCATCTCGATTGGACTTCTTTCCTGCTAGGGATCTTCGTGGGAGTCCTCATTTGGCCTCTCCTTGACTTGGCCTTTCTGGCTCGGCTGGTCGTGACGGGGTCGGTTCGGAGGGTCTTCGGGCTTCCACCTTCGGGGCTGTATCGCCTCCTTGAATGAGTGAGAGGAGTTTTGAGCTCCGACTGCTTCGTCAGGAAATCTCTGCTGTTCGTGTCTTGCTAGAGAGGCTTGAGGCTCGGGTTGCTGTTCTGGAGGAGGAAGACAGGTTTGAGGTGGTTTATCACGAGGCTCCTGCATCTCCTTCTGACTTCCCCGGATCAGGTGGAGTGAATCTCTCCCGGGGCGCGTCAGGCAATCCCTCACCTCCTCGGTCGGGTTCAGGTGGAGTGGAACTCACCCGGGCATCCTCCGTGTCTCATCAGCCTGGTTCAGGAGGAGGGCAGCTCTCCCAGGCTTACAACTCTGTTTCATCGTTGCCTTCAGACGGGTCTTGTGCTGCACATCCTGGAGGACCCAGCTCCTCTTTCCGTACTGAGGTCTCAGAGGGAGTCGCCTGCTTTTTGCGCCGGGCGCTGGACGGAGCCTATCGAGGCAGCTCTGGGCGAGACCAGTTGAGTCTTGCATCCCGCTATTATATAGTTCTTGCGGATTTTGAAGGGCGTCAGTTTGCAGAAGCCTGCGTCTTTTCGTCGTTTACCAGGGCAAAATCATTGTGCATCCGGGGGCCTGACAAAGGCAATAGTATCTTTGTAGGTCTCCCCAGCCAGACTGAGGTTGCATCGGCTCTCCGAGCTGCGGGTCTGAGTTGGCCTCGAGCTGGGCTGGATGGCCAGCCTGCCTCCTTTTGAAGGAACCGCTATCCCGGCCAGCACTCCTGCCTTCCAGAGGCTCCGGGATTATATTTTGGAAGGTCGAGAGGCTCAGATTGGGGAGTTGCGAATTGCTTCTTCCGAGGGTCCTGAGGTCTCTTGTCAGATAACCGTGGTCGGCGAGTTCGAAGGCCAGTTTCTGGTCGCAGTGCCGCAGGGAGCATGGCACAGGGTGGCAGGGCGCAGATACCTGCCTCGCGAGACACTCGCTCGGCCGGTGCAGGCCGAAGTGCTTGCATCGTCGGAGGAAAATCCTTCCGAACCTCACAGCCTTTGGCGGATGAAGGTCTGGCTAGGCATGCTGCAGCCCAACCTCGAAGACTCCGTGGACTTTGCCCTCGAGGGCGAGCTGCAGCCCGATGTAGTGTTTACAGGATTTGGCTCACGATCGCAAGTGCGTATGCTGCCCTATGGACCTTCTCTGAGCGCCATAGCGGCGGATCATTTCGCCTTTCTCACTGCAGCGGAGGACCCTATCGAGGAGGGTGGCAGCGAGAATGCCGGAGGGGTCGAGGACCAGGCTTGGGAGCAGAGGCTCCGATCTTTGGAGCAAGGCATGCGACAACTTCAGACGAGCATGCAGGCGCTGGTGGATGGAGTCCCTTTGTCTCGCGAGGAGCCGGCAGGTCCATCCGCAGAGGCAGCTACAGCCGCTGGAGTTGGGGCGCTTTTAGGTGCTCCCCCCGGTCTGACTCGGCCGCCGCGACTAGCAGGATTGGATCCTGGAGTAGTGGATGCCGCCCGAGCTGCGGGGGTTCCGGAAAGTCAGCTGGTCAAAATGTCGCAGATGGCTGCGTCGGGACGCGGCAGGCTCGGTGGACGGGCGCGAGCAGCAGATCCGCTAGACGAGTCAGACGACGAGGTGGCTCGGGGCGCTGGAGAAGGGGATGCCCTGACTTCCGGGAGCCAGGCCTCTCAGGCGATGATTCAAATCAGCCAAGTCCTGAAGGCTATGCACTCCGAGAGAGAGAAGCGGAGCGATTTGGAAGAGTTGCTAGACCGCGCCGATGGCGCAGGCGACGCCCTAGGAGGATCTGGGAGTTCGGGAAGATCGAAGACAGCTGCATTTCACAAGCTTCGCGGCATTCTGAGGAACTCGCCGGAACTGATAGCTGCTTCAATCGAGGGTCTCATAGCAGAGGACTTTTCGCTCGCCCAGAGCGGGCCGAGCTTGGAGGATCGCAAGTGCACTGTGAGAGGCTGGGTCGAGCACCGATCACACCTTCAGCAGTTTGCAGGTCCGATCAGGAGTGCGTGGACCTTGGCTTCCATCGTGGACCAGTTGAACAACGATCAGCCCGAGGCCGCGAAAGCCACTGCACTGCTGGCCCTGGCATCGCTGGATCAGGCGGCGATCGATCAGGGAAACTGGCTTTTAGCCAGCGAGTTTTCAATGCAGCCATCTCCGCCTTTCAGTGCGTTCCAGCGACCCCGAACACTCGATCCCTTGGAAAGCAGGCAGACAAAGATCATCGACCCGAGATGGATCTCTGTGTTCATGTCTCGGCTGAAGGAACGAGATGCATTCCACACGGCCAAAAAGAATCTTTCGGGCCAGGGATCTTCGGCCCCTCCGGGGGGCACAGCTTCGGGAGATGCAACTCGTGGGGGTGGCGACCTTCCGCCAAAGCCGCCTCGGAAACCTCCCAAGCAAGGGTGGAGGGAAGGGAGCCGACAAGGAGAAGTGAAGCCCGGGTTATCTTGGTGGCCGAGGCTCCCCGAGGTCCGCCCATCAACGTCTTTCGTGCTTTGCCGCTCTGCGCCATCTCCGCCTTGGCGGCCCACGTTGCACCACGATTGCCGCCAGCCCATTTGTCAGGCTTTAGTTTCTGAGAGTTCTGGTTACAGTTCGGAGCCTCGTAGCGCTGACGTTTTTCAAGTTTCGTCGAGCGCTTCAGGGGCAGTTCTCAGAGGCGGCGCTGGTCTCCCTACGGAGTCAGCCCAATCCCATTCTAGTTCGGCGGGTTCCGGTCTCTTGCCCTCTGCCCAGGAGAGCGGTAGTGCCTTCGACTTTAAAGACAGGGAGTGCGAGGCCGGAGCCACGCTCAGCGACTCTTTTCAGCAAGATCCAACCCACCTCATCCAAGCACGCCAGCCGGAAGCAGGACATGAGAGCCGTCCGGGAGCTAGTGCGCCGAGCTTTAAAGGCTGCGGTAGCGGGCGTGGCACAGTGGACATCGGGGGTTCGGGTGTTAAGCATGAGGGGTCTAAAGTTTCTTCGGAGGGTCGGGCTAAGGAAGTCATCTCTCCTGGCTCCCGAGCGCCTCGCGTTTTTCCTAGCGACTTGTGGTCTAAATTCTTCGAGACATTGAGCCGCTCCGACTGTTCTCTTTCTTCGTTTTTTCCACTCCATCCGGCTACTACCTTGCGGAGAGCGAGGGCCCAGCCAGCGTTCGCGCTGTCAGCATTCCGGTCAGGTATGGCCGATCCCCTTACCCTTCCCTAAGCTGCTTAAGCCTGGTTCCCCGAAGGTCCGAGACCCCGTCGAGCTGGGGCTCAATGCTGTCGTTCTCATCCTTGACTGGTTGTTCTTGGGGCAACCTCCCGTGATTGCTCGAGGGCATCGCATGAGCCTCGGAGAGCCATTGACCTCGATTCAATCCAAGGCGTTGTGCTCTCTGCGACAGGGAGTCGAGGACTGGAATCGGTCAGGTCCTTTTGGGCCCGAGGAGCTAGGGCGCAGCGCGCCGAAGTTTGAGAGCTTGTATGACATGCTCCGTGCCTGTCAGGAGGAGTACGGAAGGCTTCCCCCTGGTGCTGACTTGGAGGAGGCCGTTTTCAGCTTCAGCCTTCCTTGTCATGTGCTCCCTGTTGAGCCTGATCGCTTGAACTTTGTCGGTCGCCCGAGTTTCGATCCGCGTCCTTACCTTGATACTGCCAATCGGCGAACTTACGAGGACCCCATCCGTTTTGCCGAGCCACTCTCTGAGGAAACTCGGCTCCCTCACGTTGCAGTCCAGGCAAACAAGGATCAAGCGAGGCGTTTGCTGAGGCTCCTTGATTCTTCGGGTCGGCTTGAGTTGTTTGCCAGGGGAGATGTCAGGCCAGGGGTCCGAAGCGGACTTTTCTCAGTACCGAAAGACGGCCAGCGAGATAGGATGGTGCTGGACGCTCGGCCTCCGAATGCTCTCGAAAGCAGCGAGTCTAGATGGATTAAGTCCCTGGGCACGCTTGAGCAGATCCAGTTCATGCATCTTCCAGATGACTGTGATCTCGAGGTTCATGCTGAGGACCTTAGGGAGTTTTATCACAGCTTCATTGTCTCGCCCATTCGGGCGGCCCGGAACGTGCTTGCGCTTGAGTTTTCTTACGAAGATGTGGCGCATTTGTCGGTATGCTCCAAGTCGATGCGAAACCAGGTCCTCATCCCAGCTCTGCGGACCATGGCGATGGGCGACACGAATGCCGTCGCCTATGGGCAAACATCCCATTTAGCAGTGCTGTTGCAAACCACTTCTTTGCGCCTCTCTGACTTCCTGTGTTTGCGAGGACGACCCCCAAGGTCGAGGTGCGTCGTCGCAGGGTTGCTAATCGATGATTTCGTGTTGCTAGATCCGGTGCCTAAGGTTCCTCCGAGTCTTGATTACGAGCCCCGAGGAGTCAGAATCATGCGGGAAGTAATCGAAGGCTACCGATCCAGCGGGCTCCCCCGGCATGAAGGCAAGGCGGTCTCGCGGGCGAGTGTTGGGGACTTCTGGGGCGGGCAGCTCGACGGAAAAACGGGCATCCTCCGCCCTTGATTGAAATTTCACTTTCCCGGT